TACCAAGACCATCAGGTCACGTTTGTTGCGGTTAGTAGCATCCAACCCACTTACAAAACATCGAATCATAGCATTGATTCTTTATTGGACTGGCTCTGAAAGAGCTGTCTATCCAATGGTCACCCAGCGTTGAAAACAAGGTTATTTTGACGAATATATATGTATATTGTAACAGGGAGACAAAACAACTGTTCAGTGCTCTGTGTTCTTCATCACACATTAAATCTCATCACAAAGTGTAATCGCTTTTTTTGGTTTCATACAATCAAAACGGTTGCCTTCATATGTGGTACATGTTTTGCCTTTGGTGCATTGCCCGCCAGATTTTCCCGAATGTGACACACGTTTACTACCCCCGGTTTTCAGGTCAGGATCCGGTACTGGCCTCATGGAGCACACAGGTAAACAGCCTGTGTGCTGCGGTGAACCGGATTGTAGAGGACATGGAAGCTGCACATCCTGATTGGGTGCACGGTCAACTGAACGCCCGAATGGCCGTGGATCCTGCCATTTAAACTGCTACTGCAGGGGACCCGGTGAATAACCCTCTGTCCTTGTCATTTCAGTAATTCCAGACGAATTTTCAACGATTGTTCCAAGCTGTTCGGTTAGAAACATGATGGGGTCGTCGGACAATACACTTGATCTATGTAAAAGTAAAATTCCTCACTTGTGATTGCGCTTACTCTTATGCCTTGGTCGCTATTGGGGTTTTGTCCTGATGCATTTTTAACAGTCGCTTGCAGTTCACTGAGCTGTGTCACGATGGACACACTGTTTTCTTACCCATTCAGTGAGACGAGCGGTAGGCAGGGTGAAACAGCCTTGGCTATAGGAAAACAGACCTTGTTATTTCGAGAGCCACACACTACCCCAATGGGTAAGAAGTGTTATTGAACATAGCGATTTTCTTTATTCTATTTCTCACAAGTTCCCATTTGCTTGGTGTTTCTCGAACGTCATATGATCGCTGCTTTTGCATCATGTTAGCTGACCATTCTGTCTTTTGGAACGAGACACGAACCTGAGGATATAACTGACTAATTACATTACGATGAAGCCTGATGCATGTTCGATCCACAAAAAAATCCTGGGTTTGTTACCTGACGATCAACGCAGTTCTTCACTTTTTCCTTTGGGCTACTTTTTCCTCCAGTCTTAGTCTTCTTCAGGCATGAATTTAGTAAGAATCTTAGTAATTTCGTTTAAGGTGGCCTTTTTAGTAAAACTGCGGTTTCTTTGGGCATACTCCTCTAGTCGTTGTATAGCTAAGCACAAACTACAATGCAACGTCGATGTCTGTATATGGTAGCGAGTCAGATTGGAACACTTCAAGGTTCCTTCTTACTGATATTTGTAACCTTTTATTGTAAAGATCGCTTACCAACCACGTCCTCGAGCACGGTCACCGACCGTTTATTCGACGAAGCAATGTACTCCCTTTCACGTTTACCCACCTAAGTGGCCTTTTTTCTGTTCATGACATAAAGACGCGCCCGTTAGTGGACTTCTCCTCTGGTCATAAGTAGTTTAGAACTTCCGAGATGCTTCTTGACTTCCAAAAGTTATCTCTATATTATCAAAGTGATTGTTCTTTCAGCTGTGCGAATGTGGGTTCACTCAAGGCAAATTACGTAAAATTGTCTCATCTTTCCAGAAACACCCATCGGTTGGTTTCGAGTTCATTATTGTTTTGGTTCAGTGACTAACCTGGACGATAAACGGCGGGCGTGTCGGAAAAGTACCACGGGCGGTATTCTCTAATGCTGTATTCTCACGTACGAATCCCTTATGAGCAAAAGAACTCTCTAGAACGAACACGGGTTCTTTCATCGAAAGAAATCCCTCTGGAGCGAAAGGCTCACTCCTCAATAATTAAGAGTCAGCCATGCACTTGGGAAGCATTAGACTGCAGTTTTTCTCTCTTCATAGCTCACCAGCAGTGCATATCCACGTTCCCGTCCAGGCTTTAAACTCCGGACCCGTCGCCTGTAAGGCGAGTGTCCACTGTGCAAAACCAGTTCACACCATTCCTGACCAGAATCGCCAATTGATGTTTATTCAGATGTCATCTTCAAAGGTGGTCAATTAGTGACTTGAGCATGATAGCAACGAACGGAAGCACCCGATGTTAGCTGGTTAGCACGATGGTAACACACCTTCCACGCGATGGGTCGGGAGTTCAAAACCCAGATGGGACGGTGGATATACACTACTTATGCTACTCGAGCGCATGGGTGACTGGATGGACTGGGGATTCTACATGAAAATGAAGCCTGAAGGATGGTCAGTTCACATCAATGTAACCACTAATCACAATTAGGTGTGACTTGAATTCGAACTTAATATTGTCTGCTTGAAGTCCTCGCGGGTCGTTTCCAGTTAATTAATTTTTTGATTTACGATGCAATAACCAT